ATCTTGAGGGAGGGCAAACTTAAGTTTATTATGGGTAAGTGAAGTGCTTGTAATGTTCTCCTCTGGAATATTCTGGTTTTCTCAGAACTCCTGATAAACTTTCCATTTACTCTTGATGGGTGCTCAGGTGAAAACAGCAGGTGTATTCCACAGGTCATTTATCCAGATACTTTCTTATGACTGCTATTGATTTCTGCTCTGTTGTGGTTGTTTTAGCAAGGGATTCATTTATTCTTGCTTGATGTGACTCGAAGAAAATTATCCTTGACATGAAATACAGAGTAAGAGCTAGGTATCAAAGTGGAGATTTCTACTCTAGTTGTCAGTAATGAGTTGGTCACAGAAGGATATAGTTCCCCATGGTTTCCAAATATTTGTTCCTCTGCTTATTTAGGAAGTCTCATATACCCTGTGAGATTTAAGGCTTGTTTCTTTTGCTTAATTATACTGGCCTACAGGAGCAATAGTTTGTTTTCTTTTTTAAAACATAGCATTTGTTAAGTAGAAGAAACAGAAGTACTAATTAGTGCTTTTTTGTTGTATAAACTATTAGGTTGTATGTTAGCTATGCGTATGGAAGAATATACTGAGAGTGTTACAAAATGCTGTTTATATAAGGTGTCTGACTCGTAATCCCTGATTTATAGCTCTTTGGGGTATAATTAACCCTGTTGTTATTTCTATGACAGCTTGTAAGATGAGTAAGATCAGTGACTGGGGTGTAGGTTGGATGAGCCTTATCCATAGCCATCATAGCTATGGAGAAGCTAGAATCCTGTTTGATGATAAAGATCAAATTTATAAATCTTTCTGTTGCCATGTGACTTCTTCAGGGCAACAGATGAAGGATATTGAGTAATCCCTCTGAACTTGCTCTCAGGTTCTTCTCTGTCTCTGCGGAATGGGGTGGTTGGGCCCTGGCCCTTCACCTTCCTCTAGGTCAGGTGAAGAAGCAATGGGAAAATGAGGGCTTTTGTGTCTCAAGTGTCAGAAGAGCTAGACAGAATAAGGGTAGGCACTGTCTCTGGTTTCAAATAGAGAAGTTTTTAATCCTCTGGGTGGATACAGGAAAAGGATGGGGAGTAATTCTGCATTTGAGAGCCAGGAAAAAGTTTGAATAAGAGACAAATAAGTAAAGAAAAAGAACTGGCACTTACTCCAAGATCCCAGAGGTAAGGGTTCTTTGGTTAGAAATGTTATTGATGACATTACCCAAACTGTGTCTCTTACAGCATCCTCGGGTTTTCTGTGAATGCTGTCACTCCGTAGTAGTGTTGAATTAGATAAAAGCTTTCTTTTCCCAAGACATGCCCATGTCCTGGCACCAATCTGTGGTGGTTTAAGTGTAGTCTTTGACTTTGTGTTAAATTCTCAGGTACTGTGTAGATGAAGTGTGCCACGAAGTCATAAATATAATACCTCACAGCTTAACAGGAAAACAGGTCATTTTTGTAATGAAGAAAGTGAAAAATGTAATCTCTGTCTGAAATGTCCAAATTGTGCGCTTGGTCATACTCAATCTGCAAATTTACCTTCAGTTCAGATATAGTTTCTTAGTGAATTAGGGTGAGTTTGTTTTGACTACCATACCAATGAGTGGGGCGAGAGGAAAGTAAATTAAGGAACTTCCTCTCCCTTATTTTTTTTTCCCCATTGTGTGAAAGTTGCCTGATTCTTCTCCCACCTCTTTAGCCCAGGAAGGTTCAGTCATTCTGGCTACATGATCCTCATCTGCTCAGCAGTGCTCTTTTTACTTGTCATGTCCTCAACTTCACCACCCAAAATGCATTTGATATCCAGTGTTTCTTGGGGTTTCCTCCTTGCCTACATCTTGTTCTGCATCCTGCTTTACTCTAGAGAATGTGACTTCTGCCCTTGCTAGCTTTTTGATCCCCTTCCTTGATGGTAACTGGGCATCAAGGGCACTCTCATAACAGACCTTGTGCCTGGATCAGGAGGTCCCTGAGCTGCTAGCTGTGGGGGGCCAGAGGCTCTTCTGAGAGCGCTGATATGTGCTTACTGTATTCTCGCACTCATTTCTGACTGATTGCTTTTGGCCACAGATGTGGTCTAGTCTGAGTGTGGCTATTTTTGTCTTTTACACTAAAAAGCTAGTAAAATAAAACCAGTCTAGGCAAACTTCAGAACAGTAGATGTCTGGAAGTGCTGCCATGTTTAGCAGTTTTGCAATACATGTCAGAATTCATCATATTTATCAAGTTTTGTTTGAGAAACATGATTCAAGGCAAGCAAAAATCCATAGCCTCTAACCACCACAGTATATTCAATCTTTCTGCTTGGTGTACTGCAGTGGCTGTCTGTCTTGATGGAGGTCAGATCAAGTTCACTCATGGAAAACATTTTTCAAATTAAATAATTACTTAATTTGGGAAATTAATGAATTTTTCTGAAACAGGTGATTCTTATTTGAACTGAAAATATAAAGGAAGAAATCCTTTGCCATGATCTTACGAACATGGGCATTTAAAGGTCACTACTGTAATGCTGTAGTAGAAATCTTTATTTTTAAAACAAAAATCGGCAGAAAAGGAACACTTCATTGCTGATTATTTCAGTAAAACATTATTGGAATGGTCAAAGTTTAAAGTATTTGGGATGATACTGCTGTTACTGAGGTGGAAGTAAGTTTGGTGGCTGATGGTTATGGTCAGGATAGCTCTAGTCAGGTTGAATATTACTATTACAACATTGTTATAACTTTGCCACCAAAATGGGAGCAGGGGCAGAAGTGAGATGGAGAACAGCGTTGTGATACGCAGAACCTGGCTCTTCTGATGGCTGCGGTCTGAGACACCAGAGCAGTTGATGGTGGCTCATGGAACTGTGACTGTTGTGAGGCTGAGAAGCACCAACATGTATAACATCTGAGCAGCCATAATTTTATTGTGAGTGGGAGAACTTGGGTTAATGTGGTTGTCCTGAAGTGCAGTAATGAGAGGGAAAAAAAAAAAAAGGGGGGGGAGGGAGTGGGAAAGGTTTTCTACTCAAAACCAGAACCGCTGCCTGTGATTCTTCATCCTGGAGAGTGCAGAGTAGTGCTCAGTCTCCAGTAGTTTGACATGCTGAACTGATTTAACTTGGCTTCCCTGAGCACTGTACTACTACCTATCCGGTTGGGTGTTCTGGATGTCTGTGGCAAAGTGTTGGGGGCTGCAGGGGCCTTGGTGAGGAGAACCCAGTGCTGTCCTGTGCCGGACAGAGCCAGCTCTGCAGGGCACAGCTGAGCCCCTCAGCCAAGATGTTGGCATGTCTGGGAAAGTGTGGCTGTACAGATGGTTAGGAGTGAGGGAAAAATGTGAGACAGCCCTGCAAGCACACAGGTCAGGAGTTTCCCATCACTTTATTTACAGGGAAAAAACCCCACCACCTTAGTATGACATTTCTGGTCTTCAGAGTGCACAGGAACAATTTGTGAAAGCTTAAATCAAGAAATTAAGAAGCCATGGTACTGGGAAGCTCTTCATGTTGTTCTCCCATCTCTTTCCTTCCTGAGTAGATGCTGGAGAGATCACTGAAGGAAGTGTTTTAGGAAAGTAAACTTTTTTTCCCCACTATTTTAATAGTGCAATATGGAACTGGAGCTTTTTGTCTTTATGTAAGAGATGCCACTTTAAATACTTGTTTTGCCATTTTCATAAGAGGGTTCATGTATGCAGCTTTCTATACATCTTTGGTGGTTTGCTCAAGTATGTGCTAAACCTCAACTCAGCTGAACATAGAGAAATCCAGACTCCATATCACTGCTGGCCTTCGTTGAGGTAATCTGTTCCTCAGGGTCAGCAGGTGTATAGTCCAGAGTAACTGGCTTAGGTACCTTAGGGTTTGGTTTTTTTAACATGTGTCTATTAAACTGGAGGTGCAAATAGGAAATGCAGCACTTAGCAACGGTTTGTGGCTCTGCGTTTCTCTGAAAAAATCTGGATCTATAAAGTGATGAACGGGTCACAATGAGACATTAATCTCACATTTTAATTTCTGACAGTTGTAACTGTTCTAGTGCTGTTTTCTTGTTATATAATTTTTTTTTTCTTAGTGTATCACTGACAGATCACAAAATTAATACCTCTGAATATCAATAAACAGAAGCATGTGTGACACTTGGTTTAGCACAATTATTCAAAACTGCACAGTTAAGATAAGTAGGAGTACATTTTCTATTCTTTTGATTGGTGTAAGAGTAGAGAGAACACGATAAACTGGGTGAGGATTTGTTAAAACGGAAACCAGTTATTTTTGTATATGCTACTGATACTTTTTTGAACAAAGGGAGAAACTGAAAAATTACATAGTCCAACAGTTAGGGATCACTTGTCACCTAAAAGCAGTGTTTGACTGCTTCTGAAGTCTTGGGTTCTCATATTCTGCCATCCTGTGTCCTGTCTGTCAAAAAGCGTATGTATGCTTCAGACCACGAGCAACTTCTTGAACCATTTAGCAGTGGTTAACTCAGCTGGAACTGATGGTTAAACCAACCTACATGGTAATGGAACAGAATGCTTTAAGTGTGAATTTCACTGTAGTGGGAAGGTTGAAATACTTGGGGTGACAGTGAATTTTTTTTCTCCCAGTAGCAGCTGTCAATGAAAATATTTTTAGCATAGGGAGTACTGCTTGAATAAATATTAACACTTTGAATGGTGTCAAAAGCCATGAAAGGCATTAGGTTATACCTGCCCTACAGTTGAAAAAGATGTATCCCAGCTGGTGGCATGTGTCATGCAGGAGTGTGTAGTGGAGATGCCAGAGTCTGCACTGAAACAAGGCATGTGTTCCTAGGCAAGTGGATGCAGCTTTTGCTGATTTGTGACACCATTTAATACATCTGCATGAGGTCCTGTTAAAACACTAACTGATGTCAGTGCTCGTTTTGGTGTGTGTATCCTGTGCTCCATTGCATAGTACAGAGATGTCTTCCTGTAGCTTGGATATGCTTCTCTTATATTAGGGAGAAATGTCATTTCTTTCTGTTTATTCTTCAGGCAACCAGAGCCTCTCTGACTCAACATTGTACCAGCTTGGGGGACTCACTGGGCAAGGAAAACGATATTGCTCTGATTATTGATGGCCACACACTGAAGTATGCCCTTTCCTTTGAAGTCAGGCAGAGCTTTCTGGACTTGGCACTCTCCTGTAAAGCTGTAATTTGTTGCAGGTAAGAAATTCTGAGACTACTTCTGGTAACAAAATGGATACAAAGCCTGTGAAATTTTACCTAGTAGTTTAACTTTCCTTTCATGCCTATAGTGTTCACAGAAAATGTAGAAGTATGGGAAATAGTGTGATATTCAGGAGGAGGCAGGCTGCAGTGGTGAGCCAATTGATAATTTTTCTCTGCTGTGGAACTATTACGAAGTGAGGCTGTGCTGTGAGGAGTAAAGGAGGGCTGTAGAGAAGTATTCCTTTTATACCATATAAATTTCTGAAAGTGTTCATAAGGCTGACAGGCCAACAGAGTCTAAGACTTCAGTTCCCTGTCCTACATGATGCTCTACAGTGCATCAGTAGAGCTTGTACACCTTGAAGGTGAACATCAACTGCATGTTACCTCCTGGAGGTAGAACTCTCCTAGCTCTTAGAAGCAGCCTCATAAGTATGCTGGAAAGCAACTTAGTAGCTTCTTTCCTGGTTTTATGGAGGAGGAAGCAAGTCCTTCACTAAAATTAAGTGCCATGTAATAATGCAATTCTCTCTGCCACAGTCACTCCCAAATGAGTTTAATCTTTTCTATAAAATGATGAAAGATCATGAGAAAATGTTAGGCCTGATTACAGTAGACACTGGTGAGGAAGAATGGTATGGATGTAGTTTTTTGTAAGCAGTAGGAATTGGGTAGCAAGAAGTTTGTGTGATTGTTCAGTGCAGCTCTAGAGAAGGTCTCTGGATGAATTTCAGTTGTCATGACTTAATCAATTCTGTATGCTATGCAAGAATGTGTGTAACAGTGCAATTTGCCCTAGGTTCAATGTTGGAATTTCACTTGCTCTACTTGACACTGGATTTAGCCGTACAGATGGAGTCCTGTGTCGCGACTACTTCAGAAGGAAGGAAATAAGAGCCCCAAGAAAATTAAAAACAAAAGCTGGCTTGCTTTACTTTCTGCATAGCAGGGAGACTGCATCATTTTTGACTTAGAAAATTATGCAGCTTTGAGGACTGTGTGCATCTATGTGCCATTGCTGGTATTTGGGGAGAACTGTAACTTAGAAGGCCTTTTTGGTTTAGGTGGACAGGTAGTTTTATTTGCATTCTAGAAGCAAGACCTGCTTTGTGGGGAGTGACTATATGGACACCTTGTACCTACTGTTTTGCAGTCTTTCTTATCTTTATATATGTGCACATGAGCATACAAATACTGCATGGCAAAAGCAACTGCACTTCATGTACCTGCAGTAGATGGACCCGTTGGCTTTATCCATCTCTAGTTTCTTCCAAATGTTGGGACTCTTGGCCTGGTGTACTACAGGGTACAGTACTGGTGCTAGTGCTGTGCAATGTCTTCATTAATGACCTGATTATCAGATGACCTATGCCCTCAGCAATTTTACAGACAATGCAAAGCTGGGAGTAGTGTCTTATACACCAGATGGTTGTGCTGCTGTTCTGAAGAATTGAACAGGCCAAAATCTCATGAACCTCAAGAAGGGGAAATATGAAGTTCTGTGCCTGGGGAGTTAACAGCCCCATGCACCAGGAAATGCTGGGGTTGTTGGGCTAGAAAGCAGCTTTGTCCAGAAGGATCCTGCAGTCGTGGTAGACAAGCTGACGTAAGACAGCAATGCATTGTAGTTGCAGGGATGGGGGAAAAAAAGCCAACAGTATCCTGGGCTGCAATGCAAAGAGCATTGTCAGCAGGTTGAGGGAGGCAAGTCTTCTCTAGTCAGCACTAGTGAGATCACATGTGGGGTACTGTGTCCAGTTCTGGGATCCTCGATACAAGATACAAACAGGTTTAATGGAAAGAGTCCTGTGTAGGGCCACAAAGAAGATTAAGGGAATTTCGTCTTTCATAACAAGGAGAACTAGGAGGGTTCAGCATAGAGATGAGAAGTCTCAGGGGGGTTCTTAGCAATTTGTATAAATATGTAATAGAGTGAATGAATATGAGGGAGCTAGGCCCTTCCCTAGTGCTCAGTGGCAGGACAAGATGCAGCTGATGAATTTAAGCACATGAGTGTTTGAACACAAACCCCTGCACTGTTTTATTGTGAGGGATGGTCCAACACTGGAATGGGTTTTCCAGAGAGGTTATAGAATCTCCGCTCTTAGAGACATGGAAAACCCAACTGACAGCATGGTGCTGGACAATCTGCTCTAGCCAACCCTGCTTTAACCAGGGACACTGTAATAACCGATTTCCCGCAGTCTCTTCCAACCTGCCAACCTGGGTGAATCTAGGATTCTGTGACTGGTGACAAATGTGTTGCTTTTTCCAGCCAGAACTTGTTGCTTTTCACTCAAGTCGTGTTCTAAATGGTTGTCAACTGCAGTGACTTTTCTGAATTGTTTATTTAATAGCAATTTTTTGCTACTTCTGATGTTATTTTGGGGGGTGGAGGGAGAGGGCATGAGGTGTTGGAGGAGGGGTCTGACTTTGGCAGCTGTTCTGTGAGAGTGAAGAAGAGCGTTTTACCAGACTCACACAGTTGCAGCAGTCTTCTCTTGAATGCAACAGCCCCAGATGTAGGGCCAGTAAGAAGGGCAGCACTCTCTTCTTTGTGAAGAGTTATTTTGGGTTTAGAGAGCACCAAGTGCTCTATTTTGTACACTTATGCTGTTGTGTTTGTGGGGAAGGTAACAAATATTGAGCAGATGGAAAGCTCTTACTTTCATACTACATCACAATGCTTTAGTAGAAATCCTTCCAAGGCAGTTTGTTAGTTTATTTCTCAAATATTTGACAAGATAGGCAAAGACCTGTGTAGCTGAAACAAATAATAAATTGCAAATTAATAAGATTATGCTACATTAATATACATAACTAACTGAAGATAATGGATGGTGCTGTTTTGCAAAAATATGTGTAATACTGGACACTTCCCCTCCTGATACTTCATGACCCAGCCAACAGCAGTTTTAATTATAAGTGAATTAGTAATTGAGGAACAGTGCAGAAAAAATACTGTAAAGTGTAATTCAAAGGAGGGGGGGGGAATGATGTAATTTAATAAGCTTAAAAGAGGAACAAAAATAACTGAGTTTTAAATCCCCAGGGAAAAAGAGGAATGCCTTTTAATAGCCTTTAAGACTTTGCAGGAACCTTCCATTTACTTGCCAGGTGCTTGTTACTGAAGAAAGAAAAACTTACTTTTTTCTACTCTGGGTTGTTCTTAATGGTATTTTGTGTGTTAGACGGTGCAGTTAAACTTCACAGGAAAAAGTTTTAAAATGTAATTAGCATAGCAAGAGGAAATTTCAAATTAAATAGTTAGTCTTCAAACAAAAATGTTAATTGGGAAGGGGATCTGGGTCTATAAGCATCATGCCACTAAGTTTAACCAATCCAGGAGGAGTTACGTTACTATTCTCAACATAGCATGAAGTCATGGGACTTAATATTTCATAAATTTACTAAAACATTTTCATTTTCTCTCAGGAGTTTCAGCTGCGTTTGCCATTCAAAGATTTTTTTTTTTTTTTTTAATTTATTTAAGATATACTCTATATTCGTGTGCTGGGCTTTAGGCATAAACTGTAGCTGAACTTGATTCTCAAGGGTAATCTCTTAAAATGAAATTGTAGTAAGCCGGGCCCCATTTTGCATTAAGAGGGAGAGATGGTATCTTCTGGTGGGGTTAAGTCTTCCACTGTTACAGTGTCTCTGACAGGCCACTGGCACAGTGGGGGAAAATATACCTCTCAGGAGACTTGGTGAAGCTTGCAAAATCAAACCAAACAATTCTTTAAGAACAAGACATGTTTGTTAAAAGTTCTTCCAGAGACTGACAGATCTTATTATCTTCCCTCACACTGACTGGGATGTCTGTCTGTCAAGAGGAAGCAAAACTTACTTTTCAGGGGAAGTAAATGTTTGGAAGGCAGTTGAACTCATGACTTCATTTGTGAGATCTGAGCTTATCTGAGCTGTCTCTGGTTTTCAAATGTTCCTTTAAAAGACCTGTTTTAATTGATGTTTTGTGAGAGCAGCAAAATGTTGAGGCTTAGGTAGAAGTGAGATTATTTTTTTTAGTAACAAAATGGAGTTTTATCATTCATCTAGTGTTCATACCTCTTAGAAAGCCAGTTTCTACAGGAGATGGATGTGTTTGGCTTTGACTGTGAAAGTAGCAGAGAAGTACCCAACTTGTATGTTACAGCAGTGTATTTAATTCACTGCTGAAGAGCTTGCCTTGAATTGGAATATTTGTAATAGAAATATGTGGTGTTTCAAAAGTACTTCTTTGACTTTGGCTTTGGGAACAATGTTTTTTGTTGAATATAACTTTTCTGCAGGTGATTTTGCTAGCTTTTAGGTATGAAAGGTGTGCAGTTGTTGAGTATCTGAGTGTTGACTGCAAGACTTCTGCCCAACCTCACCAGCTAACTTTGTTAGGTAGTAGTGGCAGAAACTGCTCCTTTTAGTACCTTGAGCAATAGTGGAGCTGTAGCAGTAATGGTTGGGAACTGAGGAAACAAGGTCAGAAAATGCATGTTTTTATAAACAAACCCTTCAACAGCAACAAAACCCCATGTTTTCCCACTTGGATTGCTATTTCAAATAGCGTGCAGCGTGGGTAGGGTGAGGACATGAGCCCACAAACATCAATGTGAGAAGAGACAATAAATGTTCTGAAATGAACATCCCCTTTGACTAGAGTGTATCTGCTTGGGTGTTGAAAGGGAAGGGATTTAATGAACTGAAAGCAGAAAGAGCTAGGAAGGAAGGAAAAACCCAGCCTGTGAAGAGTACCTGTTGTTAATTTAGTGTCACTTCGTCAGCTAAGGAATGAGAAGAGAGATGAGGAGACAAAAGTTGTCTCAGCACTCTGACTTGTACGGCCATAGCTTGCATACTTTTGGTCTTCCATCATCATTTGGAGGAGACATTAATAATATAGCTCACAAAATGAACATCTGGAATACCTCTTAAATATTTATGCTCCTAAGTCTTACATTGTTGCTGGTGTTAGGATCTGACAAAGTGATTATTCTGTG